ATATATTTTATTATTTATACTGTACGGACGTTGCTACCAATTTTCATCTTGAATTTTCAACACAACATCTTTTATTATTTTACTCTACTGATGTTGCTGTCAGTTTCCATCTTTAGTTGTTAACGTGGTTATGTACCTGACTAATAATCTTATTCGAAGCTAGATAAAAGTTACAGCAGCCTTTGTAATCTTCAAAGTTTGAATTTTAATACATGCACATTCTTCCATTCATGGTAGTGTCTGATTATTTCATAATCTAACAAATATGTTTAACTCAATTAGTAACATACAAAATCCAGTTCACTTGAAAATATTGAAAGGAGAAACTTTTCATGCATGGCATGTTAAATAAGTCATACTTAATATGAGGTCAACATCTGTGATCCTTTGCCGGACTCGTGGTTTGCACGATGGGGCCATGAGTGAACTATAAGGATTGGTGGTAATATTCTATAGTTAAGTTAGACAGTAATAGTCTAAGAGTTAACGGATGAGTGTTGTTGACTGGCTGAAGAGTTAGCAGTGAGTACTGTTGACTGGCTGTCTTATCTCTAGTTTATCAGTTCAAACTTAGGAACGTCTCCGTTTGGATTTTACAAAATATACTTAATTATTTGAGTTATTAGAGAGAGAAAGGAAATTATGTATTAATGAGTCATATTCAAAAATTTCTGTTAATAAGGGGTAAAAAAAGTATTTGTTTTTTAAGCGAAAACGATTTCTAAAATTACAACACATAAAAAAAATCATCGGTTTAGCATTTTCTCCATTAGTGTGTACATATCTGTGCGGTACAAAATTTGATACCAAAGACACTTTTAACTGTAACCCAACGATGTCAGAATTATTTACACTAAAATATGTTATTTAAAACCAAGGAAATTTGCACTTGTACGGTTTACAGCTCGTCTTTCATCTCTGTGTTGTATAATCAAAGATGGCAACAAGTTGGAAGGTAGAGAAACCCTTGGTACCATCACTTACAGTACCTGATCGTCTACATGGGTGGTCGCCCTTTTGAATCATCCTCAATTTTACATATTTATAACAGAAGAAATGCTTCCTGTACTGACTACACTAGGTAGGTTGGGGTATAACTAGGTAGGTTGGGGTATAACAGTCGGAAATCGTAATCAATGATAATGTGTTGGATTAATTATCTCGAATGGCGTTTGTCGATGTCGATAAATTAAAATTTCCCTTATGGGTAGGGAGACAAAATTAGAGCGTCTCTCGCAGTCACGTGACCAGCACCTCCCCCCTCCTACTTTCTTGCAGTGAGAACAATCGAACTGTCACGTGCATGTTGGACTTTCTCACATGACCATTAGTGATGACTGAATTACTCCAGTTTGTGTTTTGGACTCGCTATAAGTTTTAAAACTTCAGTGGAAGCTATACTCGCTTGACGCCTACCGGTACCTTACGTAACTCAATTCATTCCGTGAGGTTAGTTCCCTTTTTTGCTGACTGATTTGCACATAATGGTCGAGAATTCCTCACCAAGCATGGGACGCCGAAGTAACTAGACACCCCCGCCTAGTAACGGCTTCGGAAAAAAGGGGCGTTGGTAGGTTACTGTATGGTTTAACAGTTCGCTGAGGCTCTTCTTAGACGCCAGAATGCAGCTGTCTTGGCTGGGTGAACTTCCTATGTGCTGTGTTGGTTGGTAGATTTTCACTGGGAAAAGCTGGGGGTACGTAATTCTAGTTGTGGAATGATGAAAACGAGTGCTTAGTGTATATAGAATTAATTCAATTTAAAGCTAGTATTGTAAGTGATTTATGTCCGTAATTCCAACAGAGACTGTTCTGAATAATGGGTTTACTACTAGTGAAGAAACACTAGCATAGCCGTGCAGTATTAATCTTTACAAGGAAACAGGATGCTAAGGGTTACTACATTTCAGGTCGTAGCTTCTTTTGTTTTTTTTCATCACTCTACGTTTTTTATTCTGTGTGTAATGACTCTCCCAGATATTTTTTATAAGCTTTCTTTCCTTCTCTTCCTTGGTGTGACTTTCTCTGGGCTCTGACAGTCACAGACATTTCTCTCTCTCTCTTTTCTAGGTTATTTAATATGTTCTGTTATACTTGTAATGGACTCTTGTCTGTCCTTTTATCGGTGTTCTATACGATCTTAATTTTTATTCCGTTAGCTCCATGTCTTCATGTTGTTATTTTTTTACTCCACCCAACTGTGGGGTTAAGCTTCCCAGCCGTTTCCTTCTTTACAGCGGCGGGCACCGCTGAAGTCTAAGTTGTATATCATGAAAAAAAAAAAGAACGAAAATTACTCGTAAAACAGTGCATCACTGTCGCCCTGTCGCTTGACAGACGCATGCGCGAGGAATTGTTGGAAGTCCATTGTACTGTTGTCTGTTAAAAGTAGTTGTAATTACACAAAAATCTAGTAAGGCGTTTGATTTTTTCTCGTTATTATTCAGTTGTTAGTTATATGCACTGACATTTCTATAGCCCGTGCTTCACCACCTTTGATCGGATAAAGTTGTTAATCCTCAGTGTTATTTGGTATAAGTAACAATTTTCTTTTACTCGTTAAAGGTTTGTATCTAACGTCATATTTTGACAAATGTTATTATAATGTATTTTTATAGGTGTTCTAATAAACGTGTAACGTTATGATTTTTTGACACGTAATATTTTTTTGTTGTTGTTGTTAATTTAACAACAACTTATAAAGATGTTATTTAGTTATTTTTCTTTTAGTTCGCTGATTTTCTAATGAATTATTATATATATATATATATCATTCTACTTATTGTGCTGTTGTGTTGTAACGCAGTTGTAGCTTAACTCTGGTTTTATACCGTTCACTACCGGCATTGTACCATTCTGAGTTTTTTTTTTATGTTTTAGTCTGTTACCACACTCGATGTAAAGAACTAAAGAAAAAAAATCAGATCTCTAATTGTTTATGTAAATTACATGGGAGATGCAAACAGTAATTATTGGGATTAATTACAATGTTGGTGGTATTTTTTTAAAATTGTTTTATATGTGTGACTTGAAATGACCAACAAGCGATTTGATGTATAAGTAGTTAAAAATAAACCCATTTCAAAAACTGATAGATTCTGGACACAACTGGTTACTAGAGGGCCAAATGTGGGTTAAGCAGAACGCATGTGAATTGGATAGCGTTTGTTTATCATGTTTTAGATTTCATTTATTTTGTATTTGCGTATTTTTCATATTATTTGATAACTGGACTAGAAGTGTATTAGGATTTGTTTTTCCATGTATCGAGATGTAGTTAATTAATTAAGAGTGGTGTTTTTTTTTCCTAGTTTCGTTGACAGAGCTATTAACACTTAAGCATTGAGCGTGAGACTGGGTCTATTCTCACGCTCACACACAAAAATCTTCCGTTGTGGCCATATTAGCAGCTTTCTATATTGTGGTTGGTTGATACAGTTCAAGTTTAGCATCAGGTTGATGAAAATTAACATATCAAACTGTCAGTATCGTTAATTCATTTGGTTATGGTTTGTCACGGATGACGTGTCAAACTGTTAGACTATGTCATGGTGAATGTTTTGGTATTACTGGTTTATATGGTTTGTCAAGGATGACATATCAAATTATCAGACTATGTCATGATGAATGTGCTGGTATAGTTCGTTTATCTGGTTATGGTTTGTCAAAGATGACATGTCACTCTATCAGACTATGTCATGGTGAATGTGCTGGTATGATTCGTTTATCTGGTTATGGTTTGTCAAAGATGACATGTCACTCTATCAGACTATGTCATGGTGAATGTGCTGGTATGATTCGTTTATCTGGTTATGGTTTGTCAAAGATGACATGTCAAACTATCAGACTATGTCATGGTGAATGTGCTGGTATAGTTCGTTTATCTGGTTATGGTTTGTCAAGGATGACGTGTCAAACTGTTAGACTATGTCATGGTGAACGTTTTGGTATTACTGGTTTATATGGTTTGTCAAGGATGACATATCAAATTATCAGACTATGTCATGGTGAATGTGCTGGTATGATTCGTTTATCTGGTTATGGTTTGTCAAAGATGACATGTCAAACTATCAGACTATGTCATGGTGAATGTGCTGGTATATTTGATTCATTTGGTTGTTGTTTGTCGAGATATCAAACTGTCAGACTAATGTGTTAGTAATTTATTAACAAGGGTGGTTTTATTAACACGGGTCGACTTTATTTACAGTCTTTGATAACATGGGTTAGTTTTAAAACGTATACGAAACATTACCCAATTTTATCACTGAATATATTATGATTTGTAGCCACATACTTGATATGTCTTTGTGTTTCGGGTGAGATAGTTAATATAATATGATTGTGTCTTCTGTAGAGGATTACTTATTTCTACTCTTATCGACAAGTACGTAGCTTTAATGTATCATTCACTGTTGAAAAAGTTCATGTCTGTCAGTCCAGTGATTCGGTAGGGTGGAGGAGTGAGAAAACAGATGGTGTTTTAACGCTTCACGTTAACGCACGTGGGCTTCTTATTATTTCCCTGGAAGGAAATTTGGACCACTAGAGCACGCCCCTAGAAAGAACGCCCCTCCATGTTTCCGCCTTCAAATGTCTACTGGTTGTCTAAGATGTTTGCTCGGTTGCTTAAAACCATAAAAACGTAACTTTTTTTTGTGCGAAAATAAATTACGAACCCAAAGGTTTTATTCTAACGACCTTCCTATGTTAAATGAAATGAAAGGGCTATCTATATCTCTCAAAGTTAAAAATTATTGACGGCCTTTGTAAGTAGAAAAATATAATAATAAAGTAAGATCGTTTAACATTGAAAATAGTGTAAAATTTATGAATTGTTGTATACGTGGACGTCCGCAGAAAATTTTCCAGGGGTGCAAAGTAATGTGAAATTGTGAATTGAATAAAAAATTTCATATACATATGCTGAATGAAAAAAAGCAAGAATTATGTTTCTCATTTTCTAATACACTATGGAATAATGTCAGGTCATAGTAACTGTGTGTTATCCTGTAGAACAATGTAAGGTCATGGTAACTATGTGTGTGTTATCCTGTAGAACAATGTAAGGGACCTTACATTGTTCTACAGGATAACACACACATAGTTACCATGAATGGTAACTATGTGTGTGTTATCCTGTAGAAAATGTAAGGTCATGGTAACTATGTGTGTGTGTTATCCTGTACAACAATCTAGGTATTCAAGTACTGTGTAATATCACGTGGAACAATCTGAAAACTTCAGAATTATGGAACAATCTACGGTTATAGTAACTATGTATTATACTGTAGAATGATTGAGTACCCCAGATTTGTATTCTATCATGTGGAACAGTCTGAAAACTTCAGAATTATGGAACAATCTACGGTTATAGTAACTATGTATTATACTGTAGAATGATTGAGTACCCCAGATTTGTATTCTATCATGTGGAACAGTCTGAAAACACAAGAAACTGGGTACTTTCCTGTGGAATAATCCAGGAACACAGAAACTAGGTGCTTTTCTGTGGAATAATCTAGGAACTCATAAACTAGATCTTTCTTGTTTTACTATCTTAGAGTCTTAATTAACTGGATTCTATATTGTAGGAACTCCAAAAAACTACGTACTATCGAATGAACCAATCTCAGAATTCATTCTACATGCTGCTAACTGTACTGTAGAGTAATAGAGGAACTCCAGAAATGTGTATAGTATACTTTAGTTTGGTGTGGGAATTCCAAGAATTTGAAAATAATTTCCAATATAAGATTCTGTACCACATTTATAACCTAAATATTTTTTTCTGTAGCAGCATAAGAAGCTATAAACTTATAGAATGTCTTCTTTAACAGCGTGAATAACTCTTTTTAAGATGTGGATTGTTCTCAATAATACTCCGGGAATACCTGAAACTGTAGACTGTTAAAAACTGAAATAACAGAAGTGAAGAGCAGCATGAAGTAACAACCTGAGGATTTGTTCGTTTGCTGTTGAGCACAATGGGCTATCGAACCTCAAATTTTAGCGCTATAAATCCCTGGAGTTTTAAAAGTATGTAGTTTGAAATGTACTAACGAAAAAATATAAAAAAGACGATTTTTTTTTTGCTGTTCTCATCCCCGACCTGCCTCCCTCACTCAACCTGGCTGTGGTGTGGGGTTTACCCACTCCATCACAACCTCCTTGAGTGAGTGAAGCGAGCTGGGAAATTCGACGAGAAGTTTCGTAGCTCAATAGAAAAGAATTATGTAGGCGTCTTTCATCTTCTTATCAAAGAGTTTTTTCAGAGCTCGATGACTCTTAGTATTTATTATGTGAGACATACTTAGCGACTATTGGGGATGAACGATGAAATACAGATGGTAAAATTTGGAAAAAAGTGGAAACTGAATACTAGAACAAACAGCAAAATGTGCATAACTTGAAATCTCAATTGTCATTGGATTCTATTTCAAAGAGTAAAAATAAAATTTATAATCTGAGTGGTCACTGAATACTACAACAAACAGCAAAATGAAGCTTGCTAACTAAGTGATCAATAACTACTAGAACCAACGACAAAATATGAGGCACGGACTTAGAAGTTATCGAATAATAATAAAAAGAACCCAGTAAGATGTGGCTTACAAACTTATAGTCGGCCAGTAGACCAGAAAACGAATATATATATATATATATATATAGTGTACATATTGTGTTTAGATATTATATGTATGTCTTTCGGCTGTACTTATTAAAAATCTGAATGATGCTCCCTTGGCATCCTTTAGGAATTAAAATATCCAAGATGGCCGTGAAGATAGATGCCGTAAGGCAGTGTTTCCCAAAGTAGGAGCCGCGGTCCCCCTGGTGGTCGTGAAGCTTTTTCTGGGGTGCTGCCAAAAATGGGCCGAAAAAAAATGCTGAATTAATTTTAATTCTAAATAAACAATAAGCCGATAAAAATTATGTTGAATTAATTAAATGATACAGTATGTCGAAAGTAGATGTTATTGTTTTTACTACGGCAATGTTTTTCAATCATCATGCTAAAGTTATAGGTTGGGGGGGCCTCAAACTTTTTTATTCACATCAAGAGAACCTCAGACTAAAAAGAGTTTGGGAACCACTACCGTAAAAAATAAACAGCCATATCTTTGATTATATATAAAATATGATAGTGATTTTAGTGTCTATTAGGTTTTTAGGGTCAAATACTTCATTTCATGCGTTATTTGATCCAGATGACCATAAGCAATGCCATTTTGGCACCTTTGAGGAAGTATAAATATCTAAGATTGGCGCCAAGAAATTTTCTTAGCTATCTTGGATTTGTCTTTAACTAGGAAAATTGTTTTTATGTTGCTTCTCATTATTTTGAAGCCAAAGGAATTAATTCTTACATAATTTATTTGGTGAACGCATTTCTGTTTAAAATAATTGGCATGCCTATCAAAATGTCCAAAGTAAATGTAACAAGTAAGTAAGGTGCCCAGGTAACGTCGGTTAGGTGACTGATGTCAAGTTTCTTGACAGAAAAAAAAATACACGATTGATAAACAAGTCATGTATCCTACGCTTGAACAGTCATTACTTTTGGTAAATAAGAATTTACGTGTTATCTAACAATAATATACTCGTATATAGCTATAAGTGTCACAGGAAACGAAGTTCAACTAACTGACATCATTTGCTACTAGTAACTGGTTGAAGCAAGGAACCTTCTTGCAACTGAGGACAGTTTCAACCACATATTGGTAGTAACAGAGTCCAATACAGTACCACAAGACGTCAGTTTGAGACTTCTGATTGCCAAAACTGACCTGAAGACGAGATATGAAGAGACAGATGTTATAGTACCTCGGCAAGTGGAGGGCTAGTACATTACAATGATGTCTGATGACATTGATGTATTCGTCTCGCTCATTCATCACTACTTGCTCAGGAAACTAGCAGCTCTCTTATTATGAAAGGGGCCAGTTTATATGGAAGGGACTAGTTTGCATTGCACAATTTTTGAGATAGGAGCTACAGCAAAGAAGCGTGTAACTATTGTATCACAACTTCTGTCCCTACACGTTCTCTCTGGCCGTAAGACGGAAGCGTACATGTTGGGTGTGGAAAAGCAACAGTTGTCAAAGTGCTTCTGATAGGCCACAAATTTGTCAGCTTTGGAAACCTGGAATCAATTGTGGACGAAGTTATTGATGAAGGGACTGCATTTTTTCGCAGCGTGTTATAGAAGCAAAGACATCGACAATACGTCTGATATTCGGTATACAATATGATTGATCAAAACTACAAAGAAGAACCTCAGTAAAATTCTGGAATTGAATTTCGTACCATCAGCGTCGGAATTATTCGCACACAAACGCCAAGCGAGAACATCTTCAAACCTGCATTGGATCCAGACCCGCCTAACCTTGACTTCGAGGATTTGGGGTGGGTCAAGGATATACAGTCCAAATCTCTTTCGCCCGTGACGATGCATACTAATGAGATGTGGATGCGCATCTGAACATCCCTGTTCGACCACGATATGTGGCCGCTACAGTTAGTTAACATAGTTTTCTGTAACATGACAAATAATTCCACAACAGGTGTAGAAAGACGCTACTGAGTCGAGTCAAAGAGTATTCCAGCTATGACCTCAAAGAAACTTATGAATCAGATAAAGTTTGAATTGGCTTTTTAATCACAGGTCTAATGTTTTACAGACACCTCGATCTATTTAATAGTATCAATCCATTATATCCGTCATCATTCATCTGTCTATTAGCCTTTTATTTGTTTGCTTGTCTTTTCCATGGATAATTCATTTGGTCACTAATTTTGGAAAATTATGGTCTCTGGGTGTCTATTGTCATCTCAAAGTAGTTTAAAAATTCACGAAATCTACTATTTTGTAAGCTTGTGCCAATAAATAGCTCCAACTGATCAATTTAGTTGTGTTGTAGCTCTATTTGTTTCACACACAGTGAAACAAAACAAAACAGACATCAAACCAATATCGTAGCTTACCAAAAAAGTGAATTGTGGTTCTTCACGTATTGTTTTATAGTTGTTTTTGTAATTCGACTCGTACATTTTAAAAAGTGATCACCCTGTAAGTGAAATAAAGCAAGAAATCGATCCCCTGACCTCAAAAACATAGTAATCGGCTTAAAGATATCATACTATTTAATACATCAGCTCAATTTTATGTTGGGGCAACGATCTTGTCGGCCATATTACATATTTTAATTCTCTCAAGGGTTAGAGGTGGTATCATTCAGATCATTAATCAGTACACCAAAAAGATGTAAAAAACACACACACACACACACACACACACAAAAACACTATGTGGGCCATAATTTTGAGTTCAAACTAGAATCGGGGTTTAGTAACCCAACTATTAGTAGTCATTGTACATCAAAATATACAGTAAAATGTGGCCCATAAATAAGAATATCATTGAATAAAGTGTCCTATATGACTTCATTTATTAAATGCACGGTACAATAAAAACTATTCGCTGTTCGCTTATCTTCGAGAAAAGCAATTATAAGTCGTACACTCTAGGCAGTTAGCAGCCTTGATGTAAATGCATAATATCGTTGAAGCTGTAAACCGAAATATCAATATTAAAATGATTTTCTGGAATATCTCGTGTTTTTTCTTGAATAAAATATTGCTTTCTTATCATCATTAATTATATTCTCAGCACAAGTAGATGGTAACCAAAATAAACTTGTCTGTTGTTAAACACAAAGCTGTGCCCACCCTGGGCATCTGATACCAGTTTTTAGCCTTTATAAGCCTTCAGAGTTACCGTTAAGCCATTGGAGAGCTAATAACAATAAGAACCAGCCCAAACTGACAATACACATCAACACCATTCACTCATTTATATTTTGCAGTAACTGTTGCTCAACCTATCTATTAGTTGGACGGGGTGAATTACATTGATTTTTTAAATTAATTATATACATATAATATTTAACTATCATTGGCGCTGATGAGAAAGATTTCAATATTTTATTAATAATAATGAAGGGAGATGTTATGATATTCACAGGCAGAACATAGCATATGTTCTGCCTAGCTTAAGGAAGAAGAAGTAAATGTTCCATAGTGCACAGAGCTCCAAAATTCTTTAGTTCGGCATCTGATACACTAAACTGAGGCATCAAGTGCATGGTTCATGAACGATGGCTTGATCACAAATAAGATATACGGATGAAGAACAGCTAGACGAATGGAATCTGGCCAATCACAGCAGACTT